TAAAAAATCTAAGTCAGAGAACTACATAACAAAACAGCACATCATACATGATGAGAAATGCGATGGTCGTTGCAGATAGATAAATACAGCCCTTTAAAATGTACCGGTTTTCTTTTTCCTGTTGGGAATGGAGGGGGAGGGGCTATAGCATAATTCAGGCTCAGCAGACATCGTCAGAAGCTGTTTTGCTAGTTACTAGATTGTTATCGATGTCAACGGACTTTAGTATTGCAAAAAAAACGAATGGCCGGTGAACCAAAGAAAACAAAACCGGTAACTGCAAAAAGGTCCTCTTTTTCTACATGAACAAAATGCTAATAAAAAGATCTATTTTAAAAAAGTTCCAGAGAAATCAGAGAGTTTTTGTCACTCGTTCTGTTTATAGACAGAAAAGTATTTCAATCCAATTTTTCCAAGCTCAGTGTAAACGAGAGGTATAGCTACCATTAAAAAAACTCCTGCGACCTGAATCAATCCAGAAGAGGAGGGATTCTCTGTCTGTCGGTCAAGGCAGCCGTGGCACTAATTTTAAGCCTGAACACATTTTAATTGGCTGTGTTTAAAAGAAATTCACCGTTATTATGAAGGAAGAATCTAGTCTTAGAGCCCAAAAAGGCTGTAAACATGTTTGTTTCCGCATCGATCACGGGAGTCACGGGGAATTAACTCGTTTTTAGATGCCTCAAGTGGCCACTAGAGGAACTTCACGTGTAATCACTCCCATTCTGGTTTCATTTCTCAACCCTCCCGTTTGCCATTTGGTATCTTTGTGTTGGATTTTATTGGGTGTAAAACTGTTTACCTGTGTGTTGGTATATACTGCAGTTACATTACTACTCTGCGTGTTTGTGTGCATGCGTTATTATCATTTGTCATTTATAGTGTGTGTGTGTTGTTGTTTTACAAGACTGAACATGTGAGTCCATGCTTTTTCATATCTGATGTTTAAGTATGAGTGTGTGTGTGTGTTTGTATATGTCTTTAGACAATAGGAAAAATTTACTTGTTTATGTGTGCCTGTGTGTAGTCTGAATGCATACGTGTTTCAACGTGTATTTGTACCTGCATTACAGCTAAAAAAAACATCTTTTGAGTGTGTGTGCGTGTGTGTGCCCGCGCGCAATCACATGTGTCTCGATGTGAATCCATTTAGCAGTTCATGCTCAGCTGCGTGTGTGTTTCTGTGTGTGCGTACATAAGTGCCAGAGCCACAGAGTGGGTCGCTGTTTGCCTCGCTCATAGTGAGCATTGCCATGGCAACGGCACTAGCAGCGCAGTGTGAAGTGGAGGAAGAGCTTGCGATGCTCAGCATGATGGAGAGCGATAGAGAGACTGGTTTCACAAGGACACACCATTGGCCGAGCTGGATGATGATGTCATGGATTTAATTGGTGGCTTAACTCATCCAGATGTGTCCTGTTTAACCTCTCAATTATGGTTACTTAACACATACAGAAAAACATTTGATTTCATTAATGTGCGTGTGTGTGTTTGTGGGTTTAAATGTAATTAGCACAGACAGATACTCGGTTCAGATTATCTAAGGAGTTAATGATCAGATCGAAACCCAGGAAGAGCAGAGACGGTGGGGGGCGGGGGGAAGAGAGGTGTGTGTCATACTGAGCATGCTCTTTGTACTAACTTCCTGCTCTCTTCTTCCTGACAGAAAAAGAGCGTTCAGAGAAGCCGGTGCTCAACAAGAAGCAGAGGAGGGTGAACGGAGGAGACGCTCTGAATACAGCTCAAGAGAATCGGATGAAAACGGAGGAATTATTTCAACATTTGGACTGAGTCAGGCTCCCTGGATTCTTCTCTTATCTCTTTTTTTGCCCTGTCTGTTTTTGTTGGAGAGCAATTGATTGAAACTGACATTAATCTTTTGAGAGTCACACTAAAGTCGGACCTTAACATCTGCCTAAAAGATGAAAGGCTGGAGGCTTTTTTCTCTTCGCGAGTGCTTTGACTGCCAAGTTTGAAAAGTACTGTGGGAATCTAAGTGGATTTTTTTTTTTCACTTTTCATATTCTGTTGTGGTTATCTGTTATCTCAGTCTCTGTTTTGCTGATAAGGTTTTGTTTCCAATCAAACAAAAAAGAGGAGGGAGACTGTTTCTCAAGTTTCTCAGCCTCAAACCGGAGTAGCATTTGCATTCCAGTTTGGCTACACAAGTGGACAAATCCGCCCTTGTGTGTCTGATAGAGTGTGTGTTTGAGTAGTTCAGAGTCCCTCGGTACAAGGGGACAATAACCGACCCTGTCTGTCTCTTCGGGGAAAAATGGGATCAGAAAAGGACTCAGAGTCGCCTCACTCCTCAGTTAGTGGCGTTCCCAACCCTAAGTGCCGTGCGCCAGGCAAGCGCCAGGGCCGCATCTCCTTCCACAGCCTCTTCCACGGTAAACGGAGCTCTCGGGGAACCAGGGCCCCCAAAGGAGGAGCGGCCACCCCTTTATCTCATCATCACCACACGCAACAACAGCTGCATCCTTCCGCCTTGAGTTCTGCAGCTGCTGCAGCTGCTGCTAACCCCACCACAACCACCACGGCCACAACCGCCACGACCCCCCAGGATGCAGCCTCCGGCACCCCCTCAAAGCCACTCTCCTCCAGCCAGCCGTCTCTGGGTGGAGGCGCTTCCTCCGGGGAGACCAATCTCCTGGAGTGTCCCCTGTGCCTGGTGCGTCAGCCCGCTGACCAGCTCCCCGAGCTGCTGGGCTGCAGCCACCGATCCTGCCTCTGCTGCCTGCGCCAGTACCTCCGCATTGAAATCACAGAGAGCCGAGTCCAGCTCAGCTGCCCCGAGTGTGCCGAGAGGCTGGCCCCGCGGCAGGTGGCCGACATCTTGGATGATGCGGCCCTGATGGAGAAGTATGAGGAATTCCTACTGAGGAGGTGCCTCGCTTCTGATCCGGATTGCCGATGGTGCCCGGCGCCCGACTGCGGGTAAGAGCCTGCAAATTGTGTTTTCAGCCCCGTCTCACTGATAAAATCTGCATTTTTGCTCTGATGCTGCTGCTTGGTTCCACTTCTGGGTGCTTTTGTTTGACTGTTCATGTGATATTATCACCAGCTTCCTGCCTCTTTCACTTCATGAGCTCTATGTTCTTGTCGTAGACGGAAAAAATATCAGAAAATTGGTGACATAGTTAAGTGGCCTATTTTCTCTCTTGAATAAGCAAAAACCCAAAATATTTGTACAGTCATAAAGAAGCAGGGATCTTTAAACTGGGAATCAAAAACCAACAAATTAACAACCACAGTTTTCACTTATTAGTAAGTGGTTACCATTAATGCTCTGTCCCTCAACTAATCGCTCAGTCATGGTATTTTTTCAGCTATATGTCATTGTGGGTCACTGTGCCATCCTTTATAGTAAAATGCACCACATTCTCCTGCCAGGCAGTCAAATACTACTGTCCTACAGATATGCATGACTTGTTTTTTGCTGTCACTGTCCGCAGCCCACATATAACGGTATCTTTTGACAGAATAAAGTCCACATTGTAAAACCGGAGGAGTGGCAATAACATAACACCCAACTTTGACAACCCGGAGACCACAATTTGCATCTAGTTTGGGACTTTTTTCCACTTTGCACACAAGTATCGTTTGTACTCGCTGTACTGTTATGTTTAGGCACTAAAATCTACTTGGTTAGGATGAGAAGAAGCTGAGTTTTGCATTCAAATGGATTTCTTAATGACATAATAGTGTTTTTAATGTTAGGAAATGGGAGTATGAGATGTAAAGCACTACTGTGATAACCCGGAGTGTGGCAGCACAGATGGCAAAGGATACCATGCGTATATCTCTGATACCAGTGGAAAGAAAAATGGGTTGGAAAACCAACATTTATAGCACTGAATGAATGAATGAATGACTCTTCTAATGGTTAGACTGAGCAGTTACAGTAAGGTGAAATTCCGGCTTCAGTTTCAGCTTTGTTTCCGTCTTCCTGTTTATGTAATATTATCAAGTTATCTGATTGGGGGATTAAGGCGATTATACAAATCAAGCTTTAGAGCCCTGGTCCGTTTGTGGTAAGGTCTGTGCGGCCTTTGGGGGAATTCACATTGCGTAATTTATAAAAAACAAACAAAGTCAGAGTGAGAAAGAGAAACTAGACTACGAGGCTGTGAGTGAGACTCAAAGTGAAAATGTAGTGAAGCCAGAGGCACTTCAGTTTACTGGTGAAGGTGCTTGAGTAATGCCAGAAGTCATTTTATATCTGAAAGAGAATAAATTGAAGATCAGTTTCTCCAAAGCTGGAAGCATAACGAAACTTAGGGAGTTTCAAGTTAACGTCTGGTTTTGAATGAAGAAGTCATCAGATAAGCATACATAAATATTAGTACGTTAGCATCTCCAACGAAAGGATTTCCGCTATAATTACCGGCCAACAGCTGACATGCGAGATTGCCCAGTCGGTTACTGTTAAACGTTATTTGCTCACTCTTTCTTCTGCAATTTCAGATAAGGGTGTTACTTCAGATTTCACGTCAGTTTTCTGTCTGGGTTAAACTAAACAGGAACTGCTTTGAGCCGACCAGTTTGAGAGAGAAGGAAAGACGCAGAGCGAGGGCTCAAATTTCAAAGTAGAGGAGAAGCTGTAAGTGGGTCAGAGGCCTGAGAGGTGGCCCTGTGGTCAGAGGAGGGGAGCGTCAGATGGGCTTAGAGGTAGCGTCGCTGCTCTGGTTAGGTTTCTGGAACAAATGAGAGGCGTTTGTTTCATCATAGAAAGCAGGAGTGATTCATTGTGTTTGTGTTTGTGTGCGTGAGTGCGTGTCTGTCCGTGTGGGAAGACAGAACGCAGATTTTCAGTGATATTCTTCTGCTTTGGTTTTGTATAGTAACACAGGTATTGTTACAGAGGGAAGCCAAAGCTATATAAATCTCTGATTATATGGGCCTTTATGTGCATTTGTTTCTCTTTGGTTTTTGTTTATTAGTTACTGATTTTTGTCCCAATAAATGAAGATTTGGCACAATCTAAAAACAAAATGCAGTATTTTCACTCTTGTATTCATTTCAGTAGCTTTAGAAAGTCTGTGGGCTGTGAAAGTACAGCCGTGCATGGGAGTCATGAGTCATTTATATAAAACGAGTTTATTCTTTTGAAGGCAGAAATATTACATTTGTAACGATGAGGCATCTCGTGCTACGATTAATACTTTTTTAATGTCCTTTTTTAGTTTGCAAATGCACATAATCTGTGTGTTTACGTGCATAAAGTTCAAGTATAGCATTGTTTCAAAGAGGTAAAATAATCAAGGATTAATGGCATATGTAAACTTCTTTTTCCAATTTTTTAAAAGTAGATTTTAAGCAGTTGCATGCACTTTCATCCAGACTTTGCAGCTTTTAGAGCAGTATGTGGTGGATTAACAAGCACTTGTAGACCTATTATAAATATATATATATTGTGCGTTCATCATGAAATCAGTCAGTTCACTGGCTGTTTCTTACATTTATATGTAATGTAATTGTATGTATTACAAAGCTGGGATAACATTTATCTTTAAAATCAATCTTTGTGGCGTTTAAAAGGATAATGAACTCATTTTCACCCTTTCTCTTCTCATTACGCTCTGTTTGCTTTACTTTTACAGTCAGGAATGACCTCATGACCATTACACACTGATGTTATTTACTTTAGTAAATCTATAGCTCATCTGTGCTGGTGCAGGAAGCAGATCCATGATTGCTGGCAGCCACACATTGTGCCTTTCAGCTCAGCATGATTTTACTTTTGCCCAGACAGGAAGTTATTAGAATATGAGATAAAAACCTGTGAGGACCATAAATGCAGAATAACACATTTTAACTCAAACTTGGGCAACTTTATAAAAGCTAAGAAAGCAGAAAACGTGTATGAATCACCCTCTGGTTATAATAAATATTCAAAGAAAGTTTTATCAGCCAAATGAAACACCGCTGCTTTGTGGGGAATTAATTGCTTTATAATTATATCGTGTCACAGCTCTGCTGTCACATCTTCACCACTTCAGGTTTTCAAAGCACCTTGTTTGCTCAACTCTGAGCCTGAATCCATGAGTGGGATGGTTTTACTCTCTATGGGGATGTAAATGAACCTCAACGGGCATTTTTTGATCGATATTGCAAATGTCTTTTTAAGCAGAGCTCTTTAATGAGTCTCCTGGCTCCCTCTGGGTCTGTTTGAAACATGCCTCTCCTGTTAGCTTAACCTGTTCAAACTGTGTCTCTGAAAGTAAAGGAGAGGCTGATGTCTCCTGTAGAAGACCTGCATAGACCTGTTAGTATCTCTGGATGCAGACAGCTGTGACAGAACACTTTGGCCTGCCCTGGTGGAAAAAAGAACAGCAGGAGCTAACGGAGGTTGGGACAGACGTAATTTAGTCCAGTTTTCTGGTAAAAATAAACCATAACCAAAGTGTGTGTGTCTGTGTGTGTGTGTGTGTGTGTGTGTGTGTGTGTGTGTGTGTGTGTGTGTGTGTGTGTGTGTGTGTGTATTACCAGTATCACTAAAGGAGAGGTCGACTGCTGCTGACCTACATATTTACAGGGACAGTCCGCTGTCTGACGGCAGCAGTGACTCAGCCTCTTCTTTACATCAGACGAGATCAAATTGTTATTCACCACAAACAAGCAGGGCTGGAGAGAGGGGAGAAAGCAGCGCACACCCACACACACACACATGCAAACACACACCTGAGAGATAAAGGCAGTTTCAGACTGTTGCTCACTGGAGACGAGGCGTCAACCGAAAACGGTCAAAAAAAAAAGTGTGAAGTTCTTGAACGTAGCTGTTAATCGAGTGTTTATAACTGAGAATGGGCACCGTGTGTGTGTGTGAGAGAGTGTATGTCTTCAGGGAAAGTTATGTAAATGTGACCTGGTTTTTCTATCTTATCTTTTTCTCTATTGGACATTTGATCGGAGTTAACGGTCTAAGTGACAAGTGAACAAATAATCAGTGTGGATTGTGTAAATTATGCACCGTTACCCTCGTCAAAAGGGACAGTTGTTTGCAGCTAACACTTTCACAACCTCCCTCACCCCCCTGCAGGTGAGTAAAATGCTGGTAAATGTCACCATTGTGGTTAGAAGACCAACAAAGGAAAAAAAAAAGAGCTTTCACTTTCGCTCTTCTCTTGGGCTAGAGGGGATTTTTCCGTTTTGTCTTTCTGAACTATTAAGGTAGTAAAACTAACTGCACTGATCAATACTTGCAAATGAAAGTGCATCAGATGACAGCGTGTAACAGGAAGGAGTATCAGTAGAGAAATTATAAGCCTACCCTGAATTTCTCCTCTCCTCTGAAGTGTTTCGGCAGCTTTAATGGAGCACTGATTTAACATCTTTTAATATCTTCTGTCTCGCAGCTCTCATCAGTGACGCTTTTGGCTGCGGGAGGCAGATGTTTGAGACAAACTTTTCTCGTTAGCGCGGGGAAACAGTGGTATATTTAGCAGCGAAGGAGCCAGATGTTTACCTCAGGAGGAATGGCATATAAATAGGCAACTGTATATAGGAGGATAATGCGCGAGTGTCGCGTGTGCAGCTTGCTCTGCTGCCCTAATGTGGGCAGACCAGTCTTTACTGCTTTCAGTCTGTTTGTGTGATGAGCTTCGCGATGAAGCCGGGAGTTACAGAGAAAAACACCAGATGATTACTGTGTTTTTAAGCCTATCGCACAATCTCATATGAATCTTGAAAGACGCTGTTGTCCTGAGGTGATGGAAAAGCTAAAAACCTCAAAATATCAAAACACAGATAAGCATCAGGTATCAGGGGAACTTTAATAATCCTCACAGGGAAATTGTTTTGTCACAGTTTTAACATTTTAGCTTGAATTCTAGGTGTGCTTTTAGTCATCATTAGTGACTTAAAGGCTTATTTGGGAAATGTAGGAGTTTTGTGTGGGTGCCATCCACAGACCGTGTGAAAAGCGGTTGCAACGA